ATCTCACCAACTTACACCACAACATCAAAATCACACATCTAATTATTTAACAATTACATAAACATTACATCATTAATTATTTAATTAACCAAAAAAATTACATCTTTATTAATAACAAACGTGCATTGCACGTTGCTTGCACCTAGTTGTACAAATAAATACAAAAAGGAAGACATCAAAATTCTTGAAAAATAAGGGATTATTGAAAATTACTTATTTTAATTTTTTTATAAAAAAAAAAATTACACTCGAATTATGCTTTAAAGAAATATTAACTCCATTTTAATTTTTCAGTCATGTAAAACATTTTAACCAGAGTGAAATCTCAATAAAATGCTCGTAGTGAAAGAATTTTAAAATAAACTAAACTTTTTTTCGACAACTTATAATAATAAAAAAAAAAATTCATTACTTTACTTGGAAAAAAAATTAAAGGAATGAATATAAAAAAAATCAACTATTGAAATTTTAATATAACATCATATATGTGAAATTAGAAAGGCTCCTTGAATTTTTCTTTTTTCTTTTTATGACATAAATGCAATCCGAAAAATTTGTCAACTTGTGACTTTGGTCATCTATTTCTCATTTTCATTTGACATTGACAAGTTTCGTTTTGAGGAAATTAGGTAGAAGGACCTTGCTATAGGTACAGGAATTTGAGGATACACACAACACTTGGAGGGAAAACATTTTTTTTTCAATATTTTATATGCGGGATCCACATCATGTGAGGAGGGATTCAAAAATCTGTGGAAATTCTGGTAAAAATTCCCTGTACCTGCAGCTTAATTCTTAGGTAGAATAGCCTATTTGCAAAGATTGTTTAGAAAAATAGTCTTTGACCAAAATTTTAATATAATAAATATGAACCGTCCAAAATACCCTCTTACGTAGAATTTGCAACTAAAGCTACTGTAAGAATATAAAGATTTCAATTAAGTTCAAAAAATTTATGAACCCAGAATCTTTGATAGATTAAATCCTAAATATTATTTAAGAACCCTTTAATTATAAATGAGGAAACCTGAATTCCATAAGATGTGTAATGCATATAAAATGTTAAGATATAGATT